GGAAGGGCGGTTCGTGGTGGCGGTAGAAGTGGTATGGTGGCGAAGCTTGGGGGGGGACTGTACAGCAAACTTGTACCATATCACACGTACCCTTTAATGATTACAAAGTAGTCTGTCTACCTTGAAACTAGCGACGCGCTCCATCCATGGGACCCTTTTAATGCGCAACAAGAGCGCTCGAATGCCGACAGCAATACATACCTCTATCCCATTTACCCAAGACACCACCCATCCGACGCCTCCGTACCTAGGATATCCGGGCCACAGACACCAACCACAGATAGTGTTTTGGTCTATAGTAGCCGCAACCAACACAATCCCAACCCACAACAACCCAAGGAACCCCCCAACGCCAGCCCAGCAAAAGTACCGCCCTCCCCCGCGCATTAACCATAATCCAACTCGTTAAAACACATCCCATCCATCCCCATCAAATCATACCACCACCATCAACCCCATAATACCCACCACCACCCCAGCCACCATCAACCCCCAATTCACCACCGAGGCCCTCCCACCCGCCGAACGAACATGCGCCGACCCCGGAAAATTACACGTCAACCCCCCCGCCGGATCATGCCTCGCATAATTCCCCTTGAACCCCGTGCCCCCAGGAAGCGGACACCCAAACCCCAACGCCGCCGGGCAGCTCTGCACCAGCTTGTAGCACAAGTCATCACACGGCAGCAGCTCCTTGTACGGCCCGGGCTTGACGACCTCGTCAATCAGCGGGTTGCGGCTCGAATTGAAGGTGGTGGTGTTGGGCAGGCGGGACAGGGCGTCGGCGTCGAGGACGTCGCCGTTGGGGAAGGGCTGGCCGATGGCGCGCGGCTGGAGGTAGGGGGCCGCGTTGGAAAAGTCCTCGCAGCGCGGGATCGCGACCGAGCAGAGCCAGTCCTTGTAGGCGGCCGCGCAGTCGGTGCAGTTGCGCGCGAGCGAGTAGCGCTGGCTCGACGGCGCCTCGCACGCGATCTGGTCGAGGGACCGGTTGAAGTTGGCGTACATGGTGGACGCGTACAGGTCGTAGAACTGCCCGAGTTGGATCGAGTTGCCGTAGCTGGGGTTGCTGGGGACCGAGTAGGCGACTTGGTCGCAGAAGGAGAGGTCGACGACCAGCGCGCAGTTGCCGTGGTCTGGTGGTGTGTGGTGAGTATTAAAGCTATGTTATTGTATTGGAAGGAGGAAGATCGCTTACCTGACTTGGTGCTAAAGTTCGTTGCCTTGAATACTTTGGTCCCGCGTGTTCCGGCGATTTGCCTCTGGCCCAAAGTGCCCCCATTCCCGCTATTCGTGGCCAAGATACCAATGTACTCGGCGCTGGAGTTGAGTCCAGTGAAAAAGAACTGTTGCTTCGGCAGGTTTCCCAACCCTCTCGTCGTCATACCCGTTCTGACTAAATCCGTCTGCCGCCCGTCTCTGATGGCCGCGATCTGCGCATAGTTCTGCAACCCGCAAAACGAGTACCTGAGACCATTGATGGCTCGATCGTGCTTGTTGTGCGCAAACAGTACATACGGCTGCGTGTTCATGATACCGGCCACCACATTCGGATCTGCGTTGTCCGTCAAGTTGTGCGTTATCAGCAATGCCCCCTGCGAGTCGCTGTCTACCCAAATCAAGTCGGCATCGTCTTGCTCGTTGTAGTTATGGTAAAAGCTGTCCACCGACGCCGCGACTCTGAAGTTGTATGTGCCCGAGAAAACTTCCGACACATTCGGCGCGTGTACGCCAATGTAAACATCCTTATCTGTGGTGAAGTTGAACATGGCGGCGCCCTCGTTGAACACTACCATGAATTGGGTGCCCTGGTCGGCAAGAGGGCCCGGGGCCTGGTTCGCGGCGGTTGTCGACACGAAGAGCGTAAGCTGGGGCGGATCCATCGTCGTCTTCGACGGGTCAATCGGCTGCGGCTGCTCGCAGGTATTCGCCGATATATATACCGTCCGTGATTTTTGCCTCTTGGCTAGTGTTTGTTCCTCCTCCTCCCCCGCCACCTCGTGCTCTGCGGCGCCAGCGCCAGCGCCAGCGTTTTGTTCCCGAGCCACAATATGGTCGCTCCTCGACTCTAACAGGCCCTCTTCCGTTCCCCGCGTCGAGACCCCAGGCAGCACAAACACAAACCGCTGCGTTGTCCCCTCGTCCACGTTCATGGGCGTGGCTTCATTGTTGATGAGCGATGTAACCCCTGCGGGCGCCCGCCCGATAATGCTCCTGTCAAAGGGCGAGAATTCGGGCTCGTACGTTGGATCGAGTAGGCTGCGCGCGGGGAGGCCTATCGGGTAGTCGAGATCATTGAGAATGACGGGCAATGCCTCTTTCAGCTCGGCGGCAAGGGCAAAATTGGGCGGGAACAGGACGAGATAGAGCAGCATCAGTAGGCACGAGGCGACGAGGGACGCCGCCAGCCGCGACTGGAGAGGGCTGAGCTGCATTGTGAGAATTTTCCCCCACGGGGGTTTCGGAACGTCGTCGTCGTCGTCGTCGTCGTCAATGTCGTAGTAAACTAGTCGTCGGCAGTGGGCGGGGGACCTCTGTATTTCTGTCTCACGTCCTTGTTCCTGTCGATCGATCGCTCAGCCACTATAAACCCCCTGTTGCTGACCACGGAGAGGCCGCCGGTTTATGGCACCATGATCTTTGCGAGCCGGTCCCAACTCTTGCGTCCTGGACTCAGCTGGTTGTACGGAAAGCTGGGCTGGTCCTGGTCGTCGGTTTCTCCAGGGTCGTCGCGAATCGAGATGGTTCATTTGTTGGTGGCATGAGCGCAGGCGCGCGTTAGTTAGGTACGGATCGGCAAGGCGAGCCGATGCATGTGGGCCGTGGCTGATTGATTGCCCCTGCAGTGGGGCCTGGGCTGACTTGCGCTCTGCCAAGAGCAAGCAATCCCACCACGGCAAAAATCGCCGACGCACTGTTACGAATTGGTTTGCACATGAAACTGTTGCACCGCGAACTCGCATTGGCCGTGCAGCACAAATCCTGGTCGGACAGAGTAGCACATCCCTTTGGTCATCGGTTTGCGCACTTTCAGTGGGTCCGCCAAGGCTACTTGGGTACATCATCTTCTACTTCAAAAGCCCCCCTGATGTCAGCCAAGGTGGGCTAGCCAGGGGAGTATTTGCGCGTTGTCAAGGAGTTGTTTTCGCGTTCCCAGGGGGGTGGACAAGGTGGACAGAGGTATCACCAGCTGATTACTGGTATTGTGGGCCTCAATCTGGGCTCGGTTGAGCCAGGCTTGGCTATATCATGCCACTTGATTGGACGGACCCACTGAAAGTGCGCAAACCGATGACCAAAGGGATCCGCGGTCAGGAAAACGTCAGGGATGGAAGGAAAGGGCAAGCAAGGTATCAGGATAAAAAAGGACTTGCCCATACGAATACCTAGGTACTGTCCAACACTCGAGGATTCAACCTCGCTGCCATCCATACATCGTAACTAACAGACCCACATCTCTACCTACCCAAGGAAACCTATCCACCTGTCCGAGAGATCCGAAGGAAATCAGCGCCAGTCTACACCCCCCATGGACCCCGTCCCCGTTGCTGCCGTCGGTTGCGTGGCCAAGTCATAATTCATGTCCAACGTCAGAAGGGAAACCGGCATTCAGCGTGTGATTTATTCCTCTCCATTGTCCTTCCCAGGCCGCATTCAAAGCCATGCACGCACGTGCTTTGTATTTTACCGGATGGGGCCCGGGGCTCGAGGCCCGAGCATCGTTTACTCGGTGTGGAGAGAGTCGGCCTTCGCGCGGAGGCCGCTGGCGGTGGAGCCAGGGGTCCGGGTCTGCTGGAAGTAGCGGCCGAGAGTGGGAGCCATGAAGGAGCGGAAGATGAGCTCAGCGCCCCTGAACCGACGTCAGTCTCTGCATGGAACGGGACATGAAGACACAACACGGAACTTACTTGAAGGCGGGCAGAGACAGCCACAGGAGGAAGACAAACTTGAAGGTGTAGTAGAAGGGGAACCAGTAGACGACGCTGACAAGGCTCTCAACAACGCTATCATGAGGTCAGCTTTTGTAGCTCAGAATTGTACGGTCGCAAATGGGTCTTACGTGAAGAAAGCAAAGACAACCCAGTACTATGAGCTGGTTAGCACAGATCGCACTGCCGATGGAGAGTTGGCACGGCCACTCACGGTCAGCCACTGAGTATCATCCTCCTTGCTCGCAGAGAAGAGCGCAGCGACCGAGTAATAACCCGGGATAGCAAAGCCCGCAATGTTGGTCAGGAGCTGGCCGCCGAGGTTGAAGATGATCAGGAAGAAGTAGAGCGCTCCCAGGCCAAGCACGGCATACGCCTTGGGAATCGACGTCTGCTTCTCGAGATTGTTGAGAGCGGGGTACTTGGAGAGCTGCGGCACCATTCAGTCAGGATAAAGCCCAGGCCGGTGAGGGAGTCGGAATCGGTAGTCGGGACGCACCTCTTTGTCGAGCTGGGAGACATAGTGCTGAACGCGGTCCTGGGGAGAAGACATGGTTGCGGGGGGGATTTGAGTAGAAGCTATGAAGATGTCTAGAAACTGTCAGAAGTGGTCTTTAGAAGTCGTGAAAGATTGTGGAAATCGGGCAGGACGGAGAGGAGGGTTGTGTGCGCTGGAAAGCTTCGATTCGCCAGCTTTCGGCGGGGAGTCGACTAGCTCCTCGAGCTACCTAACAAAGAGGCAAGACACGCAGAAAAACAAAGGATTGCTTTGGAATAACTCACAATGAAGGCGCAAGAGTGCAAAATGCGTTGAAACAGGATCTTTGGAGAGTTGGTCGGCGAGAATTGGTTTGAAATAAGTAGGATCTGGAGCTCGGTGTGGGTGGCAGGGGGGAAGAGGTGTGAAGCAATGACGAATGCTACGTGTGCACGAAACCCCCAGTCACAAGCTCCCAGCCCCGGCAGCTCCTGGTTTTAGCGCATGACGCACGAGGAAAGGGGCAAGTCACGTGCTTGCAACACAAATATCGAGACACACAAAACTCTGAATCGGCCAACGCAACGCCAAGCAAAGGTCCGATGGTGTAGTTGGTTATCACGTCAGTCTAACAAATAGTTGGACACTGAAGGTCTCCAGTTCAAGCCTGGATCGGATCAGCCTACTCTTTTGCTGGGAATCTCGTTGCCTTTTTGCGCTGATTGTGTGTTGAAGGAGACAGATAGAACAGACAGAATTTGTCTATCAGGTCGTGGCACCCACACCCTCTTTCCTCATGGAGGTAGCGGGCTCGAGAGTCGGGCTGATAAGTCTCTGTGACACGCAACAGGTGACCATTCCGTCACAGGACAGGCTGTCTGTTCTGTACAAACTCTCGGGATATCCACGGCCCTCAAGTGCCAAGAAAAGGTTCCTTGCCGATGATAAAAACTTGCCTAGATAGACCGAGTTCATAGCAGACCGACCTCGCAGAAACTCTACTCATTGTTTAACGGCACTCCTCGGGAAGGGCTGACTTCCAGGTTGTTGTGGCACAGAAACGAGCGGTCGAACGAGACAGATATCGCAACCCACAACCAAGATGCAGCAGGCAACCATGATCAATAGTTTGTCTAGGCGATGCCAGTGCGCCAAGCAGACGCGACATGGTTACCTTACGCAGTAGAGTATCTCGCGTGTATGCAACGAAATCTTGACAAATTTACAGCAATACCGACAGCGAGGGCAAACCGTGTCCACATGCGGCTGTTTTTGTTGTGAACAATGAAGCTTTAAGGATGACCAAACTCAGAACTGTCACAGGCAGGAATCGCCAAGCGAGCCAATCGAGTCGCGACCTCAACCAGAGGTGGGGCCTTATGGTACGTGCGGGGAGCTGCCGCAAGGAGCGCATTGCCCCGGTACCGCCTCGCATGTTTGTTGATTTCTTCTTCTCCTCTCCAGAGGAAAATGCGGAATTGAGCACGTCCAGCGGGCCAGACACCGCACCACCTCGACCCCCCTCGCGTCCTCGCGCATGCATCCTTTCGAGTCCTTGGCAGCGCCGTATATCTATTTCTTCAACACATTTTTCCATTCGTCCTTTTTGTCGCGCGGGTACCGTTTTCATTGTCGCAATCCCCCGTCGTCATCCGTCTCTGTTTTGGCGAAAGCACTGTTTGGTTGTGACAGGAGTGGCAATGGACCCGACCCACGGTAAGGACGCCGCGTCCCCACCACCGCCATCACCCCTCTCCCTATGCACCACCGACTCTACTCGGCCGGCCTCCCGCGCATCGAATCCTCTCAATACTCATTGTTTCATAGATGCACTCACTCTCGTCAAGCCGAGGAAACGTCATCGGTCGCGCGGCTCGACTGCATCGATCCACAGCGCCACGACACAGGCGAACGTAGAGCACAGCTTTGCCGAGTCCGCCGACGTGTATTCTTCACAATGGTTGCCCAACCCCGCCAGTCATCCGCGAGAAATCCCCAACGGATCGGCCCAGATGACTCCGGAGGACCTACTGTTGGCGTCCCAGCTGCAGGCAAGCCGCGACTTTGGCCAGGACCCCCCCATCAATACCGCGCCCATGCAGAGTGTTTCGTTCCACCACCACAGCCACAGCATCAGCAGGCAGTCGCTGTCTGCGGACTCTTTTGCCGGCAACACGAGCTTCGCAGATGATAGCCAAATGCTGGATCGGGATGTAAATGACGATGGTGACTCGTTCAATGGGCTGCCAGCACCAACCAAGTCTGGAGCGCGTTCCAACGCCAACAACGAGCTCGAGATGCGACAGCTGTTCCACCACAACAAAGAGCGTACGCTCGAGGAAGTTGCCCACGAGCTACTCGGCAACGACCGCGGTCCGAACTCGGAGCGGGCACGACAAGTTTTTGCGATGCTCTGGTAAGGCCGACAAGTGTTCAAGAGTTGCTAAAGCGCCATGCTGACTGGTCCGCAGGATAAACCTGGTGTGCTCAACGGGCAAGGGCTCGGTACCGAGAGGGCGAGTCTACGCCAACTACGCGTCCCGATGTGCCACCGAGAGGATTACCGTCTTAAACCCCGCGAGCTTCGGCAAGTTGGTGCGGGTGCTTTTTCCGGGCCTCAAAACACGGCGTCTAGGCGTCCGTGGGGAGTCGAAATACCATTACGTGAATTTTCAGCTCAAGGAGGAGCAACCCGATGCCCGGGATAGCCCTAGCCAACAACCTACGATGCCTCTGGGAGACAATCCTTCCTTGGCGCAAAGCTTCAAGTAGGCATTCGTTTGTTTTATCCGTTGCAAGCGCAAACTAACGTTCTTCAGCACCCTCCCCGTCATCTCTACGTCCATGCGCTCCGAGAGAACCCCCTTCTCTGCTCCTCCTATCACACATCAACCTGGGCCAAAAACCATGCGATCACACGAATTCCACCATTGTCTTTACAACCAACCGCAGGTGGCCAGCTTCGATCAGTTGCAGTCGACAATGGGCAAGACTCCCCAGCAGCTTCGCTTTTCGACCGACACGGGCGAGACGTTTAAGCAATCAGACCCGATCCTCCTTCCCCGAATCGAACCTTACCTCCCCAGCGGCACGGATCCCGACGCGGCCAAGTCCCTCGTGGCCCTTTACCGGTCGTATTGCACGTCTCTGGTTGAGTGTATCCGGTACTGCAAGGAGAAGGCATTTTTCCACCTCTTTACATCATTCCAGGGCACTCTCACCATGCCGGTACAAAAGTTGTTCGCGAACCCGGCCATTGCTCCGTGGATCGAGGAATCCGATTTCGTTCTGTACCACCGTATGGTACGCATTGTTGCAGGCCTGACGCTCCAGGTCGTGCCCAAACCTGTTCTCGACACGCTACGCAACATCTCGGAGCGGCTCGTGCCCCATATCCGGGACTCATTTCAAGGACAACCTCTCCATGTGGTACGGGCCAAAGAGGCGCCGGCTACCATCTTTGCCGGTCTGCTCGACAGGGCGCTGCGAGTGAACCTCACTGCTCACGCGGCGGCAAATATGTTGTCAAACCCCGCAAACCGCGATCTGATGTACATGGAGTGGATCTCGATGATCAATGTGCGAAAGCTTGCCGAGAGCATCCCGTCCCGTGGCATGGACGATGTTGTCAATCTATTGCTCAACGAGATGCGGGATTTGCTCAATCCGGTCAACGTTCCATGGGAGATGGAGTGTTTGACAGTACAGGGCGAAATTGCGATGCGGAGCGGCCGGCCGCCCCAGGAGGGGAATGTTGATGAATCAAATTCGTCAAACGTGCTGGATCGCTGGGTGAACTTGTTGCGGTCCCTCCCCAGCCGGTTTCCCTACGCGTCAGATACGGATCTTGTCTGGTGCGTTCAGCGGCTGAGCACGGCGCTTATGAGGGACCTTACAATCGGACAAGGAAAAAGCTTCGGGTCCTGGTGGGTGACGAAATGCTGGGTCGACGAGATGATCCAGTTTATGGCGGAGCAGGGCGGCTTCCTGCAGCAGAGGTTAAGCAATAACGGACTTGCTGTGGCAAAGCGACAGTCAGCAGCCAGAGAGTTGAGCCACCAAGGGTCTCGATATAGCAGCGCCAGCGATGATTTCAACATGGCACGCATGCCGGAGCCACAGCCGGACCGGGCGCCATTCCCTTCAGGCCCCGCGGCCAACAGCCAGCAGACGACGCACGACGACAGCGGAATCGGCATTCGGACTCCTGATGAGGAGTTGCCGGGCGACAAGTTCAGCCTCACTCCCGCCACCACACAAGACCTGTTTGCCGGCACAGAGCTGCAGGACGACCTAGGGGATATATAACCTTCCTCTCCCTTCCCGGCGAATCACGATGTTGGCGGTTTCTTCTCGGATGTTTTATTAGGGATGGAGTTTTTTGGCGTTTTGCACCAACGGGGAACTGCTTGACCCCTTGTTGTCACGATGGGACGATTGGGATGATAGAGCTAACGGTATCATTGCTCTTGATGGTTAACAGATTCGACACGGGGATCTGATCATGTTGTTTTAATGTTTTCGATGTTCATGTTTGGGGAAAAGGGGGTTGTTGTTGTTGTGTTCATTGAATGCGTTGGTTGGTTGGCAGTTTTGCCCATACTTGGGGCTAGGCGCAGGTGGAACGAACTGTATTGTACCATGCCCGTGGCAACGATGTCTTCATTGCGTGCGCTTTGCAGAGGATGCTATGTCAATAGTTTCTCAAGACTGAGTTGAGGTCACGTTGTCTCTCCTGTCCGCGCACACACCCATGTTGACGGGATGTCCGGAAGGATGCCATGCTTTCGAATGTCGTGGTTGGCACGTGAACGACAATCGGATTGACATGCTTGCTTGTTCGCCCCACATATCTCTCACCTTGCCGGGCTTGGTCTCCGAGGGCTGAGAGGAGTTTCTTACTCTTGAGACCATCATCCCTTTCCACCGAGTCCCTCACATCTCCATTCTTGAATCAAGTCCCACCGAGGTGTATGTCGCTGAACCATAGGTAGGTTCCGGTCCTGATCTGCTTGATGTCGCGGAACTGACATCGAAGAGCCCTTGTTCTTTGTCTGCCGAGGCTCAAACGGCACAGTTCGACACCAACTTATCCGACTCTCAACTTCATCCCTTACACCACATATTTCCAGTTTCATCTTCCCGACTCCCACCATAAACACCAATTGCACAATCCAGCAAGATGGTGGTCGAAAAAGAAGGCACCTTTGAGGTCAACGGCCACAGCCTCTACACCAAGTCATGGCTGGTACGTCATCACCGCGGTGGGGCCTTGACACGCATGGGAACTCGCCAGCCCTGTGAAATGTATATAATCTAACAAAAGTCCCAGCCTGACGGGCCCACCAAGGCCAAGCTCATCTTCATCCACGGCTTCAGCGACCACCTGGGCCGGTACTACAACTTCTTCCCGTCCCTCGCAAGCCGCGGCATCGCGGTCCACGGCCTGGACCAGCGCGGCTGGGGCCGCTCGGTGCGCAAGCCCGGCGACAAGGGGCACACGGGCACCACGGCCCAGGTGCTCGCCGACATGGCGGCCTTTATCACCCCACATTTGACCCCGACCCCGACCGCCTCCAACTCAACCTCGACCTCGACCTCCCCCCCGGTCTTTGTCATGGGCCACTCGATGGGCGGCGGGCAGGTGCTCACGCTGGCGTGCCACCCAGACTACCAGGAG